GATTGGTGGGGCGTGCCAGACCAAGGCAGCAGTGCAATGCCCAGGCGACACACAAGAGCCTCAGCAGCAAGCCACTGTATTGAGCTCTTCCCCTAGAAAAATTAATTTAATATCATGCAAGCCAATGGCTCGCGTATCAGATATTAAACTGATAAGAACAGATACTACACTTGATCTTAGCCAAAAGGCCGAGAAAGGTATGCTTCATAGCGTAGTCTGAAGAAGCTTTTATAGTTCGTTGGTCCTCATATTGTGCTTTCAACATGTCCAATGTGGGACTCGGGAACAACCGACCTTCTTTATCTTGAACCAAATTCTAATTGTCATACAGGCATTTTAATCAAGAAAAAAATAAGTGTATCATGAAAAAAGTAAAATGAAGTGAAGTGAAGTAAGATAAAGGAAAAGGAAACTAGTTTCTCACACGTGTTTGGTTAACAAGAAAATGATGCAAAAATAAAATACAAAATCTTTGTTTGTTTAGCTAAAAAGTCACGAAAAAATTGACTAGTATATTCATTAATAAAAAAATATATTCTAGATTGAACTTCTTCATTTTTGGTATTTAATATACATAAAAAACACATAATAAATATAACATTTTGCATGTTGGAAGAGTTGCTTACCACAAAATTAATCACATTCTTTAACAATAAGTTCATATACTATGTGTGTGGTTTAGTTACTTCACAAATATATAGACATAAAAAAGGAGTATAAAATGTAAAAGGAAAAAAATATTAATTTCATATACATTCAACAAATTACTAATTAATTAATTATTAAAATACGAATAAAATATCAAACTGCAAGCTAGTTTTTTGAATTGTAAATTTTAAGATGTTTTGATTTATGTAGAAGTTTACAATGGAGGAAATAATTCAGAAAGAAAGAAGTTGTAAATAGAATTAGTTGAGACTTTTCAGTAACTCGCTCTTACTCTCTTATCGAGTTTTGCACGAAAAATTTTATAGGAAAATGAGTGAGAAAATTTTATGTGGTGGGTCTCATAAATTTCCTAACAAACTAACATTTAATACTTAGAAGAAAGAAAGTTACAACCTAGGATTTTAGAGAGAATTATAGGTTGTGTGTGGCCGAAATAGCATTTTAAGCTCCTCCCTTTTCTTTTTTTTCTTTTCCTCCTGCTCCATGTCACACAAGACTCACAACTCTTTCCATTCACGATCCAACTACCAAATCCAAAATTTAAACCTCGAACTTGATAGCAGGAAAAACCCTTCCCTAACCATTGGACCAATCGTAATGGTTAACATTTTTGAGCTCCTCATATGAACATTTTCGTCCCAACTTGGCTAGCCATATCCACATTTCAATAATTACAGTTTTACTCTATATTAGGAACAAATAATTAGGACAAAATTTTCGAGTTGCAGAAACAAGAACAGTACGGTCTTCAATGATTATGATCTTGAATCTACATATCTTGATAAAAATATGTAGTATAGCATAAGTTGGACGGTGCAGAAATAGAGTTGGACCATCCTCTTGTAGTAGTTAAATCTGACATAGGTCTTTGCTAAGTAAATTGTTCGACTGCGAATTAGTCCTATTTATGTCTATGCCTCCAATTAAATTCCTCAACTCTAATTTTTCATTTTTTTTTTCCCGTTGTCTGAAGCATCTGTCAAAAACAAAAATGTCTCAACTTTTTGACCTTTGAAAACAGCCAAATCCAAAAGTTGATATGCTGGTAAAAGCAGTGGGAAATCTCCATAGCACAAAAAGTGGAATTAGAGATGTCATAACAATATTAATTAACCTGAAAAGAAGAAAAAGATGCTCCTAAAACACCTTAAAAGTTAAAATATTAAACATGGACTTTTCTGGGAGAAGATGAGAGATCTTTCGGCTGGCTGTCCTAAACATGCTTTTAGAGATTCCTTCAATTGAAATTACGAATTAGCAGCCTAGCAGTTGCCGTCACTACCTAGTAATCCTCGTGGCCAAAATGATGGTGCAGCCAAGAATGCCTTTAACTAATATGGCTTTTCTGGGTCCATTATGGTTCTTAATTTAATTATTTGCTAGTAATTTGTTGCTTAAACAATTGATCTACTACTTGTTTGTAAAACGTGTTTTAGAAGTAAGAATATAGAATATTGAATCTCTATCATCCAATAGTGCAACTAATTGGATATATTGCTACGAAATTGAACTTTTCTATTTTCTCTGTTCATTTTAACTTTTCACAGGAGTTCCATTAATATTTTCTTTCAATGTATAGGACGGGGCAAGAAAACTGTCCAAGGTGAAAAAAGTTGCTAGAGCAACTGCCTTGGTGGTGCTATAGAAGCTCATGTCCTAACAAGTACAGCATCCTGAATTACTTGCATTTATTTTCATACATGTTTGGATTGCTATTTTTAAGAGATTTTGAAAAAAAAAATGTATTGTAGCAATTTGATGTATGTAAAATAAAAAAGTGATTGAAAAATATATTCACAAAAAACGTAAAAATTTTTCTGCAGAAAATCACAATCCAAACAAGGCGACAGAGGTCATGCTATTCTTTTCTGTAACGTTTCAATTTTATCGGATGTCCCCGAACAGACATTTTCATATGGTACTCTACTTAGTGTAAGTAGCAAATAGCAATGAAAAATTGTCATCACTTACTTCAAAAAGAAAAAAAGGAATTGTCATCACAAAATTGCACATAGTAGCAGAAAAGTATATGATTTTCGACGAATCTATGATCTTTCTTCTATGAAGTAATTATCACGTGAAGTATATGTAGCTTTTGCCTTTTTGATAGTGTTGATGGATTTCTTGGTAGACAGAAATAAAAAAAATAAAAAAAAAAAGAGAGAAGGAAAAATGGAAAGTTAAACATTAGAAAATAAAAAGGAAAGTAGGGAAATTATGGCACCATCCTTGCATTACAAGCCTTTTTCTCTCATAGGAGTAGATTTTAATTTTTTACAACAAAGCAACCACTAACTTTAACTATATTCTATTATCATAAATTCTTTTAAATCGTTCATTGCAATAAGTCATCTAGTAAATTATTCATTGCAATTTAAGTTGAGTCATATTCAGGAAATGTAAATGAAAACAATATATGCAGTTGTGTGCATTGACATGGTAATTTATTCGTGTTAAATTAGTGTCTATCGAGCATCGATCAGGAGAATGAAAAAAGAAAAGAATTAAACTCTAGACAAACAATTGCTTTAGTAGTGGCATAATTTTATTTTACAAGATAATTAGCTATTTTATTCATTTGCTGGTGAAGACAAGATATTGTGGTAAAAGTGATAAAGATGTTTTCTCAGTAGCTAGTTTGATAGCATAGTTTAGTTTAGCCATCTTTTCACGTCACACCAGCCAATTTTCTCAGATTCTCAAGTAGAACCATCTCCTCCTGATAGGATAATTTCATCCAACAAAGTCTAGAAATGCTGTTGTAGAAGTTTTTAATTCGTGGATTTCCGTTAAAATCTGAGGATAAGCCTACTTTCCACAAATTACTTATCTCTTCATTAAAGTAAGTCCTCGAATCTTCCCAAGTATGAAAGCCAAACTCTTGTATCCTCATGCACTCTGCCTCTCGTTATTAAGGTCTTATGTAGCCTTATCTGAGCTCCAATAACTAACTCATAAAGGACTTCCAAATTGTGTGTAGAGCTCAAAATTTGCAGGTTAAATTACTTATTCTTGAGTAGCATTTTGCAATGAGCATCAGATGCTGGAACAAGTCCAGGAGTGCAAGCGTCCGGTTAGGCCAGGCCAGCTTTAATAGAGAATATGAGACTGAACCAAGGTGGTTAAAGTTCTGGAAAAAATTCAGAAGACGCAAGAAGAAAGATTGTTACTCTTCAATGTCAACGCAGACACCATATGATCCAGAAACTTATTTGCAGAATTTTGATGAAGGGTCAGGGACACTGGAGCCAGACAATCTCCTCAGGTCCTTCTCAGCTCGATATGCCAATCCATCAAGCTTGTCATGTAGGAGAGAGTTTCTGGTGGAATTATGCAGTCACAGATTATCTATAGAGTAGTTGTGTTTTCCATCCTCTCAACAAAAGGTATGTTTTGTATATGGGCATCAGGCGTTTCACAGTTTGTAAAGAGTGTATTTGTTTGTTTTTTTCTTCCCCTTTCTTCTCTGATGTCATTGTCTGAAAGGAGTTTTGAGCTTTCTCAGTTCATCATTCAAGCCAATTAACTAGAACTTAAAAGGAAAAGGAAATAGACCTGAACTTTGCTGGCTTTTTAGTCTTAGAAGCATTTAATATGCTCTCTTCTTCATCAGTTCTGGTGAAAACATTGTAGAAGTCATTTGCAACATTCCTATGGCCATGACTTTGTTTAATTATTGCCACATTTAGAACAATCAAGCTGGGTAAAATGAGTAAAACTCTTCTCAAAACCAAGAGATGGAAAGTATCTTTGAGCTAATTTTCATCTCTTTTGAAGTCTCATCTGCCCCAGCAAGAGTTGTTGAATAGTAACTAAATCTGAAACAGTTTCATCTGCTTCCCTCTTGCTTTATCATCTTTCTTAAAGCTTTGGCCTTTTCTAAAGCACTTGGGCTTTAACTTTTTTAGTTTCGCCATGCAAGCAAAGCAAATAAATATGCTCTATAGCGAAGCCTGTGATATTCAGAGTCAATAAAGAGTTTAAGTCGGGATGGACAAGCAAAATTTCAAGCAATTGCCTCAATGCTACATGCCCATATAGTAAATCCGAAGCTAACAACTTTGTATGTTACTCTAGTGAGACATAACGCAACAAGAAGGCAGAAAATGGCAGGTTTTTTTCACTTCAGTAGTTTCAAATTATTGCGAGTATTGTTCATTCCACTAGTTTTACATTTCAACAGTTAGTTTGATTTGATCACAAGCAAGCATATTAGAGCTCTGTTAAGAGGGAACATGGGAACTCAATTAAAAGAAATCTAGATGAGTGGCAGCTTGATCTGATCTCTGCAGCCAATAAATTCCCTGTGCCATCATCATCTGCTACTTAGCTTAATGAAACCTTCAATTGCGATTCCAAAGTAAGGGATTAAAGCATGTGCTGGGAGCATTAGTATGCCTTGCATGGAAAGCATCCATCCAACGCAATGCGAATTATAAGATTTCAGTTCGTAGTGCTATACATAAAAGGGAAGTATCAATCCCCTGCAAATGGAATTATCAATATTCAAGATTTCATTGATGACAGTAATGTTTTATGGATCTATTTCGTGTAAACCACGTACACACTTCAATTTTGATTAGTGTAACAATCAATCTTGTCATCATGAAGTTACACTGCACCGTGTTTGCCTGGATGCTTGCAATTCTTGCAAGGAGCTGCTTGATTCTGATTCTTCAACTCATCTCCAGCGACGAGAAAGAATGCAGTGTGCCTGGAATGATTATTTGGTAATTAACTATGATACAATTCATATACAGTAGGCATATTCACCTGCAATAATAAATTCGGGATAATATCAGAAACCTCCCCTGGGGTTTTTCATAATATCATTCAGGTCTCCTGAGGTTTTTAAAATCTCACTTGTCTTCCTTACCAGCTTGACAAGACCAAATGTGCCTATCAAAGGTCACAAATTGACAACACTACCCTTGCACTATTAATAACTACTTAACCCAAAAGCCAAAACAAAAAAGAGAATTTTTAAATTAAAAAAAACGTAGATAAACAAAACAACCAAATCGCTACTCAATATGGGGGCAAATTGGGTTGGGTTGTAAGGTGAGTGGGTCATAAGTCCAAGACCTCCCATTTACCAGAAAAAAAAAAAAATTGCTATTCAATAATGATCCACATTTCTTAGTATCAAGGTGGTGGTGGGACAATAAAGTCCTTTGGTAAGTTAGATCTAGTCAAAGCCAACAATTTAGAAGGATTTGGAAAGCAATTAACACATTGAAAAATTTTGTGGGACAGTTAAGGAAGTCAAGAAATTTTTTTAGGAAATATGTTTTAATACATGATGTAATTTAAGTTGTATTGAAAATTAAAATAATCTCTTCATACGTGTGATTTGTGACATAAATTCTACTTATAGAAAAAATTTTTATAAATAAGTCCATAATTAAAAAAAATTAATCAAAATATGATAGAATGATGAAATATATATATATATATCTAGGAGTATACTATTTTTTTGGTTAAAACTTCATTAATTATGCTAGGTAATTGTTGTTGTATATCTAATAAATTACTCGTTATTGCATTTATAACCACTCATATTTTCAATTTTTTTCTTTTTAACCGTATTTTATTTTTTTATCATTGTTGTAAGCTTCATAAGTAGGATAACATAAAAATGGTATTGGCATAAAAAATTTATCTTCCTTGTATAAGTGAGATTTTCAAAACCTAAGGGGCATGAAGTGATATTATGAGAAATGTCAGGGGAGGTTCCCGAAATTATCCCAATAAATTGACCAGAATTGTATTGTACCTGAAAAAGTTCAGCATTTTAGTCTTAGAATCCAAGTCAATATCTGAAGTTGCGTCCAAGGCTTGTTGCATGTGGTTTAACCACCTCTCAGCAGCTCGATGGGTGACTGGAAATGGACGATGGCGTCCAATCAAAGCAGGATGGCCTGCAACAACAGTATATATCTGATCGACCAAACATTATAAAAGCGTAAAACCAAGTGATAAGGAAGAGCTCCAGCCAAAGGGGGGGGGGGGGGGAACTGATGGAAGAGAAGACAAAAGAATATTTTTCTCAAAGTTGAGTCCTTTCTTTTGCAAGGACATTGCTTTAGATCTACTATAAATTACATCAACAATACACCAAAGAAAGGAGCCCAATCCACAACAAAACCACATTGTACACCAGGAATATATGTCCCACAAAAAAGGCTGTACTAATCAAGACTCAGAGACATAGGTACATCTATTCATGAGGCTCAAAACATTTTGAACCCGGAAGCATGTTGTCCACAATTATCTCAGCTTTGCCATCTCCTTTTTCCTTTTTCCACTTCATTTTGCTTTCATTTCTGGGCACGGGGAGAACAGGATGTGTCTCTTTTAAACTGTTCATGGGTACAAATTCCAGGCTTCATGCTCAGGTGATACACACCATGCATTATGTCATTAATGCAATGAAGCCTTAGGTGATTCAGATCCAATCAAAAGTGAGTGAATTTACTTGTAAACTTTACATAGATGAAGGGACTCTCTAATGATAATGGCATTCAAAAGCTCTCCACAATTGTTAAGCACAAAAATGTATCCAGTAATACAATATTTCATACTTGAAATACTTCTGTGACTTTCACAACCCAAAATACCTAAATTTAAGCCATCGAACAATGACCCATTCCCTTACAGCTACCAGCTCAGAATCATCAACTTCAGATGTATCCAAACTAATTAAGAAGCAACTCCTTAAAATTGAGACTCAAAAGCTAGCTCAAGACCTTGTAAAAGCCACATAAAATTTCTCCCCCCATCCACACACCAAAACCGATAAGCATTAGAAAAAGTTCAAGTAGATGGCCAAACTACACGTTTCTTTTGATTTAGCAATTCTATTTCCACCTTGTAATCTGAGTTCTTCTAACATCATCTGGCTGGCTAATTAACTCCAGCAAATTAAATATATGCATTCACTGTACATGTATAATTTAATCTGTGACACGATGCATTGAAGCTCAAACTACGTGAAAAAACAAAGGATGATATCATGCATTCTCAACAACCATGCTTTGTTGCATTCTGCCAATTTGATGGAAGACCAAACCACAACCAAAATCACAACCTTATAATCAATATAAAGATTATCCAAAATTCCTTGCTACCTTTTCTCTGAGAGTAAAGAGGAGGCCCTCCCATTCTTTGCACAAAGAACTCATACTGATTTTGAATGGCATCTTCCTTCTTTGACTTTGAAAATATTGACCTAAACCACTCTTCCTCATCAGCATATACCCTGTTTTCCATTTTCAAAAACCCAAGATTTATTAAAAGAGAAAAAAAAAACTATGTAAATTGATTTGTACATGTACTAGTTAGCAATGCCTAATATATAATAAGTTCATATATAAGCCGTATACCTAACCATATAGAAAATCCAAGTTCCAATTTTACCAGTTCTGCAACCGATCTGCTCCCTATAACTCCAAAAATACTTTAAAATTAAGACTAACTCCTTCAGTCAATTACGGTAATCATCATTCATCCGCAAACAGACACCAAAATAGGGGAAAACAAGAGAACTGCAGAGAAACAGATAAAACAGGAAAAAGATACAATTTTTATTCCCAATCACAGAGCAGAGATATAGATTCAGTTTATTTATTCATCTATTTTTTGGTGTATCATCTTTCCGCGGATTTCCCAAAAGACCCACTAATTCAATTAGCAAAATAAATCCCAGAAACAAAAGCAGAAAAGAAAGAATCCCGTGTTTGTGACCTCTCATAGAAGTTGGTGGAGAGGTTGATGAAAGTCTGGAGGCCGAGCTTCTCATAAAGATTGGTGCCGTCGATAGCAAAGGCGTCCTCAGCGTCCACCCCACTCCATTCCGCCGCCTTCTCCTGCAGCGACTGCATCTTTCTTTCTTGGTTTAGTTAGAAAATCACGATTTTAAAACTTTTAGCAATATGTCTTTTTCTTCTGCTGCTGCTGCTGCTGCTGTATACTGTGTGTTGGAGTAATATATGGACGTTGAATGCAATTAGAGGGCCGTAGAAATCGCGTGGGAAACACGCTTTTGGGTGGAGGATGAAAGGGACGTGACAAATTGGAGGTATGGATGGAAATTTTCAGGAGGATAATATCAGAAACCTCCCCTGAGGTTTCTGTTAATAGCATTTAGCACCTTCAAGGTTTTACAAATATCACTCACGTTTCCTATTAATTACAAAATGACTACTATGTTGACCCTTACTTCTTACGTAACACACACATCAAATAAATAGTTAAAAATTTAAAGAAAAGAAACAAAAGTCATTTTCTTCTCTTTTCTCTTTCTCCAATATTCTATCTTGTCTATTTTTTTGGATAATTATGTGGTTTGATTTTTCTTTTTGCAAATGATCATAAACTAAATGTGTTTAACCTTTTTTCAATTTGAGTGACTATGATATAGTGTGATATGATTTCTTTGGTTATTTTGATTTGATTTTTATAGTGATTTAGTATAACTTAAAAGTTTGGATCATGGGTTGAGAAGAGATTGAAAAAAAAAATAAAGTTCATAAAAAATTGGTTTTGATCATATAAAGTTGAATTGGTGTTATTGTATTTCTTTACAAGTATTTTTTTTGTTTCAAATTTATACTTTTACAAGTTATGACTTTATGATGTGGTGGCACTACTTAAGATTGCCTTTTAGGTAGTGGTTTTTAATAGAGTAAATAAGTAATTTAAGAGTATTTTTGTTTAGTAAAAAGATCAAAAGGGTAGTTTACAGTTTTTCAAAATTTTGTCATACAAATAGCAAAAGTAATGGAGGTAAGTAATATTTTTAAAATTTGAAGGATATTAAGTGATATTAAGAAAAATTTTAGGAAAGTTTCTAATATTATCCCATTTTCAGGAGGCGGTATGGAATTTTGATTTCTAATTTTCTTTTGGGTGACGACAGATTCCTTTCTGGGCTAGTTGGATTGGAGATTCTGTGGGCTGCTATGATCTCATGTGTATGTTTGGTTCTTGGTTTATTTCAATTTTCATGGGAACAATAAAAGAATGGATAATAGCACTTAACACTCACGAAGTTTTAAAATATCACTTATCCCTTTTGATAATTATAAAATAACTATATATTAACCCTCGTTTTATGCATAACACACGTATCAAATAAACGGAGTTTAAATTTTTTTAAAAAAAAAACAAAAGCAAAAGTCATTTTTTTGTCTTCTCCTTCTCTCCAAGATTTTATGTTTTTTTTGGATGATTATGCGATTTTTTGTAAATTATTGTAAACTAATTTGTTTTAGTGATTGTGATAGATTGCAGTACAATTTATTTGGTTATTTGATTTGATTTTTATAGCAATTTAGTGTAACTTAAAGGTTTAGGTCATGGATTAAGAAGAGGTTAAAAAATAGGATTCATAAAAATTTGGTTTTGATCATTTAAAGTTGAATTAGTACTAATGTATTTCTTTAAAAGTATCTTTTTTATTTTTAAAATTTGTATCTTTACTAGCTATGACTTTATAATGTAGTGGTAATACTTAAAATTGTTTTTTAGATGGTTGTTTTTAATAGAGCAAATAAAGTGGTTTAAGAATATTTTTATTTAGCAAAGTAGCAAAAGACTAGTTTAGAGTTTTTAAAGATTTTGTCTCGCAATAAAAAAAGTAAGTGATATTTTCAAAATTTTAAGGGTATTAACTGATATTAAAAGAAATCTCAGGATAGGTTTCTAATATTATCCCATAAAAGAACTTCTGACTTTGTGGGGCGTTGACGTAAATGACTTAGTACTAGCTAATCATGCAGTGTGGACATGATGAGGTAATAGTGTGTATGGGTCTTATTCTTGGTCCCGTTGGATATAATTAAGGGACAATTACACGTAGGGTTAATCACATTTTATCCCATTAAAGAATACCTCATTTCTCAGTTTACCCCCTAACCTTTAATTTTGTTCACTTAACCCCCTTTAGGACAAAATTGCCCTTACATTATTTTGACTTTTCATTTACCTTATTTTCCTTTCTTTTATTTCTTTTTCTCTTTCTTCTTTATTTAATTCTTCCTCTTTCCCACAAAAATCTTCACCTTAATGATTGAAATTAAAAAAAAAGAATTGCAGAGATCTATCTTTTCCTTAAATGATTAAAAAAAAATTCAAATCACTTTCCTAAAATACAATTTTTTTTAGCCTTTCAATTCTTTTAATTTTGGGTTTTCCTCTTTCCTTTCTAGTTTCTCATTTTATTCCCAAGAAAATATCTTAAGATGAAATTGTGACCTGATTAATAATTATCAATTGAAATTTGTGACACGTGGCATCATACAAAAAATCAAAATTAGTTTTTGATGTCTTTTAAACCTTCGCCCAGAAATATGCAATTACAAACTCAAAACAAAAATTTTCGTGAAAATCGAATTTTCTATTGGAAAGGATGATAGAGAGAAGAAAGAGAAAAAGAAATAAAAAAAAGTTCCTTTCTAGTTTCTCATTTTATTCCCAAGAAAATATCTTAAGATGAAATTGTAACCTGATTAATAATTATCAATTGAAATTTGTGACACGTGGCATCATATAAAAAATCAAAATTAGTTTTTGATATCTTTTAAACATTTGCCCAGAAATATGCAATTACAAATTCAAAACAAAAATTTTCGTGGAAATCGAATTTTCTATTGGGAAGGATGATAGAGAGAAGAAAGAGAAAAAGAAATAAAAGAAAGGAAAACAATTTCATCTTATGATATTTTCTTGAGAATAAAATAAGAAACTAGAAAGGAAAGAGGAAAACCCAAAATTAAAAGAATTGAAAGGCTAAAAAAATTGTATTTTAGAAAAGTGGTTTGAATATTTTTTTGATCATTTAAGAAGAAGATAGATCTCTGTAATTCCTCTTTTTTAATTTCAATCATTAAGGTGAAGATTTTTTTGGGAAAGAGAAAGAATTACATAAAGAAGAAAGAGAAAAAGAAATAAAAGAAAGGAAAACAAGGTAAATGAAAAGTCAAAATAATGCAAGGGCAATTTTGTCCTAAAGGGGGTTAAGTGAGCAAAATTAAAGGTTAGGGGGTAAACTGAGAAATGGGGTATTCTTTAAGGGGATAAAATGTGATTAACCCTTACACGTACACTACCTAAGGTATGTGAGAATTGCACATATAGATCCCTGGTAGTTTGAGTAATTAATTTCACATATTTGTCCTTGCCCACTAAAAAATAATCTGTGCATTTGATAAAATTCAAACCTAAATGACTCTATTATTCAAGTCATTCACTCTCTACCGTTTAAGCTATAAAATGCAATCCTTCGAAATTGTTGCATCTCTCTCCCTTGGCCAACCTTCTACCATGTCTGACTTGTACTACCATCACAAAATTCATTTGTTGGTAGTCTAGTTCTCTTCATATTGCTTTCATCACAATTTGCCAATTATCTCATCTTTGCCTACTCTAACATCCAATACAATTGGACTCCTTCAAGTTAGTATGCAATATTCTTCTTTTTTTGTAATTATTGTTGTTTTTTATAACTTACTAATTCCTTTTACCCTTCTCTCTATCAAGTTTTAGTCATTGTCTTTCAACCTATATTTGGATTAGCTGTTTTTAAAAAATTTCACTGTAGCACTGTATATGAAAAATTTTTACTATAAAATTTTTTTGAAATATTTGATATATCGTATAGATGGGATGTTTTTTAAGTTATTGTTTATTAATGTAACATTATATTTGAAAAACTTGTTTCTAAAAAATGGCTAATCCAAAAGAAGCAATCATTATTTATAATAAAAAATTCCATGTGAGTATATGTGTTTATCAAGTGCCATTAGATTAGGTATTAATGAGCCTTTTTGAATTGCTATTATACGTGTCCCTTTTTTAAGCTCCCAATCTGTGACAGCCCCACCTCTCCCTAAGACGAATCAAAGGGTTTGGCGAACCGCCTGCCCAACTCTCGCCGGGACTCACTCACTCACTACAATCCTCAATTCAATTACAATATAAATCTCAAATATACATCAAATGTTCCTCAAATTTATATATCATAAGCGAAGCGAAAACTACTTCTAAGCGTGGAACGTACACATACATCCATTTCAATTCCAAACAGTTACACTAGCCCAACTATTACACAAAATGAATTCAAATCTAAACTGTACAAGATATATGCCATCCAGTCCCGCAAATAACGTAATACAAGCGCTTCTTTTGCCTCGAGCCTTGTGAAGGGGACAAAAAAATATTTTTAGAGTGAGTTAGAAACTCAGCGAGTAACCAGTAAAATCAGTAGTCAAATAAGTTTCACAATAGTTCATTTCAATGATGTCATGAATCAAGAATCAAATATACGTTTATTGCCCTTGTGAGCCAGTGAAATCATTGTACTTAAACATCCAACGCTCAAATTGATCCAGTAACAGTGAAACAGTGATAGATAGCCATTTGCTCCAAGTAAACAGTGATGGAGACGTTGGTGTTCGGCACAAGATTTCCCAAAAACTCATTGAAACCAAATCATATCATGAACTCACATGCAAGCACACATGACATGCAATTGAGTAAATAATGCAAGAAACAATTCATAAGTAGCTTTGGAAATAGTTTGGGGTCACTCACCATCCACGGCTCTTAATCCTCATCCATCATAGACAGTTTTTCTCGATCAAATCCAAGTTCTTCATTCTACCACGAATTAACCCAAACTCACAGTGATTAAACGTTCTCAAAGATTGGACAGCACTTCCCCTTAAATTCCTTATTTTCCATCCTACAAGACATTACAAATCACATCTCAATTCAATCATAATAAAGCCCCAAAGTCATACACAAATTCATCTCATTTCAATAGCCGTTCAATAGGCTCAAAGTCATACAAGTACGAAATCAAACTAGGAAAATGTCCGGAAATGAAGTTTAAGTTATAAAACAAAAGACAAATTTGCCGTCGCTTAGCGTAACGGGCACAACCAAATCTACGCTTATCGGATTGGGGTGAAATTTATACCGTTTCGAAGCTAAGGCAGAGGGTTACAATATTGATGAAAACCACTCAGTCCAGTTTGTAGTGTATCTAAGTCAAAAGTCCGGATTACAGAACCAAAATCTCACATTCAGGCTAGTTAACCGCATTATACGTAAACAACCATAACTCAGGCTACCGAAGTCCAAACGAGGTGATTCTAGGGGCGTTGGAAAGTAAGACATAGCACTACAACTTTTATGTTTTGACTAAATACTAGTTCAGTATGTATCAAGGTGAACAAATGCGACCAACTTGGTGCACTGTCAAAACTGTCCATTGGACTAAACCTATGGTAATCAGGCGTATTTCGGTCTTTTTACAGGTTACGTTACTCCGATTGAGCTGAAATTTTGCAGGAAACTATAAAACATCATTCTCTACAACTTTCATGTTTTGAACTAAGGATAATTCGGTCCCTAACATACTCAAACAGAAACGGACAGAACTGAACCATAAGAAATCTCAATTTTGGAATTTTCTCAAACCACCATAGAAATCACCAAATCCTCCACACAAACCCACAAAAGTGATATATAAACCATCATTAACCCTTATTAGCATCTTACAACATCAAAATCAACATTTCTACTCAATTGCTATAAATTTTTACAAGAGTTCAAGGCTGCTTTACCTTCCAAAGGTGGGTTCACAAGGTTGCACTTCAAGAACCAAGTTCCTTAACTTTCTTTTACTCTAACTCCCAAACTTGTTGGATGGGTTGCACAAAATCAGAATTTTTCTCTTGTTTTTCCTCTTGTTTCTCTCGGTTTTTCCTTTCTTCTTTTCTCCCTAGAGTTGGCCAAAACTCACATTGTTTCTTTGGCTTTGGTCTTGCTAAGAAGATTAATACTAAGTCCCTTGGTCAAAATCCACTACCTTTTTTATTATCCAATGAAAATTAAGCTTAGGAATATCATGGAACCTTTAGAAAGTCTAGCAACTTGTAATTAACCAAAAGTCACACTATGGCCCAATTAAATTCACAATCCTACCAATTTACTCCACAATTTACATACTTGATATATTCCAAAAACCTAATTACACCTCAATTACTCCACTAATCATCCAATCACAATAATTACCTATAATAAAATATGTATTGTCATACATAAACTCAATTACATAATAACCTTTTAGTCACAAGTAAAACTAGGGTTTTGATTTAAATTTAAAATGTCCAATTAAAAAAAATAATGTGTTAAAACAAGACAAAAGAAAGAAATCGAAATTTTAAAAAAATGAGGGAAAAACGTTGTCCTATAATTCGGGGTATCACAATCTCCCCTCCTTAAAAGAATGTCGTTCTCGACATTCCAACTTGTACGAATCAAGTCAAGAGATCCCGCAAAAGTCAAACAAGCATTTCCAAGCAAGCCTAATCCTATTTGTCTGATTTTCATTCCTACAAGAAATCACTGATATTTCATCAGATCCACAGTCCGGCATCCTAAACTTGAAGCCTAGGATACACTACAGAGATCGAAAACCTAAGCTCTGATACCAACTATGACAGCCCCACCTCCCCCTAAGGCGAACCAAAGGGTTTGGCGGATCGCCTGCCCAACTCTCGCCGGGACTCACTCACTCACTACAATCCTCAATTCAATTACAATATAAATCTCAAATATACATCAAATGTTCCTCAAATTTACATATCATAAGCGAAGCAAAAACTACTTCTAAAGCGTGGAACGTACACATACATCCATTTCAATTCCAAACAGTCACACTAGCCCAACTATTACACAAAATGAATCCAAATCTAAACTGTACAAAATATATGCCATCCAGTCCCACAAATAACGTAATACAAGCGCTTCCTTTGCCTCGAGCCCTGTGGAGGGGACAAAAAAATATTTTTGGGGTGAGTTAGAAACTCACCGAGTAACCAGTAAAATCAGTAGTGAAATAAGTTTCACAATAGTTCATTTCAATGATATCATGAATCAGGAATCAAATATACGTTTATTGCCCTTGTGAGCCAGTGAAATCATTGTACTTAAACATCCAACGCTCAAATTGATCCAGTGATAGGGAGCCATTTGATCCAAGTAAACAGTGATGGAGACGTTGGTGTTCGGCACAAGACTTCTCAAGAATTCATTGAAGCCAAATCATGTCATGAACTCACATGCAAGCACACATGATATGCAATCGAGTAAATAATGCAAGAAACAATTCATAAGTAGTTTTGGAAATAGTTTGGGGTCACTCACCATCCACGGCTCTTAATACTCATCCATCATAGACAGTTTTCCTCGATCAAGTCCAAGCTCTTCATTCTACCACGAATTAACCCAAACTCACAGCGATTAAACGTTCTAAAAGATTGAACAGCACTTCCCCTTAAATTCCTTATTTTCCATCCTACAAGACATTACAAATCACATCTCAACTCAATCATAATAAAGCCCCAAAATCATATACAAAATCATCTCATTTCAATAGCCGTTCAATAGGCTCAAAGTCACACAAGTACGAAATCAAACTAGGAAAATATCCGGAAATGAAGTTTAAGTTATAAAACAAAAGACAGATTTGCCGTCGCTTAGCGTAACGGGCACAACCAAAGCTACGCTTATCGGATTGGGGTAAAATTTATACCGTTTCGAAGCTAAGGCAGAGGGTTACAATATTGATGAAGACCACTCAGTCCAGTTTGTAGTGTATCTAAGTCAAAAGTCCGGATTACAGAACCAAAATCTCACATTCAGGCTAGTTAACCGCATTATACGTAAACAACCATAACTCAGGCTACCGAAGTCCAAACGAGGTGATTCCAGGGGCGTTGGAAAGCTAAGACATAGCACTACAACTTTTATGTTTTGACTAAATACTATTTCATTACGTATCAAGGTGAACAAACGTGACCAACTTGATGCACTGTCAAAACTGTCCATTGGACTAAACCTATGGTAGTCAGGGGTATTTCGGTCTTTTTACAAGCTACGTTGCTCCGATTGAGCTGAAATTTTGCAGGCAACTATAAAACATTATTCTATACAACTTTCATGTTTTGAACTGAGGCTAATTCGGTCCCTAACATACTCAAACAGAAACGGGCAGAACTGAACCATAAGAAATCTCAATTCTGGAATTTTCTCAAACCACCATAGAAATCACCAAATCCTCCACACAAACCCACAAAAGTGATATATAAACCATCATTAACCCTTATTAGCATCTTACAACATCAAAATCAACATTTCTACTCAATTGCTATAAGTTTTTACAAGAGTTCAAGGCTGCTTTACCTTCCAAAGGTGGGTTCACAAGGTTGCACTTCAAGAATCAAGTTCCTTAGCTTTCTTTTGCTCTAACTCCCAAACTTGTTGGATGGGTTGCACAAAACCAGAATTTTTCTCTTGTTTTTCCACTTGTTTCTCTCGATTTTTCCTTTCTTCTTTTCTCCCAAGAGTTGGCCAAAACTCACCTTGTTTCTTTGGCTTTGGTCTTGCTAAGAAGATTAATACTAAGTCCCTTGGTCAAAGTCCACTACCTTTTTTATTAGCCAATGAAAATTAAGCTTAGAAATATCATGGAACCTTTAAGAAGTCTGGCAACTTGTAATTAACCAAAAGTCACACTATGGCCCAATTAAATTCACAATCCGACCAATTTACATACTTGATATATTCCAAAAACCTAATTACACCTCAATTACTCCACTAATCACCCAATCACAATAATTACCTATAATAAAATATGTATTGTCATACATAAACTCAATTACATAATAACCTTTTAGTCACAAGTAAAACTAGGGTTTTGATTTAAATTTAAAGTGTCCAATTAAAAAAAACAATGTGTTAAAACAAGACAAAAGAAAGAAATCAAAATTTTAAAAAAACGAGAGAAAAACGTTGTCCTAAAATTCGGGGTATCACAATCAATCTCCATAACTACTAATGAAAAGCATTATGCAAAAATCTTTATATTTACCTCTCGCTATTTGTACAATGAGGAGTCTACTTGACTAGTTGTTGATTAATTTAGATGTTCTTAGAGATTGTGACAAGAATGGGATTAAAGGGGTGGTTGTGGCTTGTGTGAAAGGCAATAAATTAGCGATCGTTAATTTTGATGTTTTTTAAAAAGGAAAATAGGATGGTGACAGTAACTTACCACAAAGTTATGGACAAATCATCATCACCAGTATATAACCAAGAAATTGCCAACTGGCATCTTTTGTACATTCAATTTGTCATTCTCTATTTTTGACTCAACACCTTTGTACTCTCCCTCTCTCTTTGCACCAGAATTCTGTAACTACCAAGATTAATCTTTCTATGGACGACAACATCATCATTCATGCCTGCTACATATCTCACTTCATCTCCTAAATATTTCTTTTTTCCCATTAATATTCTTTTTCAAAACTTCTACAATTTATTTAGCCCATTTAAATAAAATTGACGCATAAATAAATAAATGAATAAAGAAAACAATTTGTATAATTCAAGGAGCAAAAGAAAGCAAAACTATTCATGTAAGTTTGGTTTCATTCCTATTTGTGATCCATTTTCGGGGCACACTCATAAGTCCATTATTTAATTTTAGACTCGCTGCTAAAGTGAAATGATCGGCATGAAATTTGTTGGATGCCAATTTATTATGGGTTGGTGGCTAGAGAATTTATTAATTTGGGTTGAAATTTGGGATCTGTAATTTGAGTGGAGTTCAGAATCAAGAAAATTACTTGATTTGGGGTTATAT